AAATCAGAAATCGCGTATGAGCGGATTCTCGTGTCGAGAATTGCAGGGACATATGAAACTTCTTGGCATATGTATAGGTAGATATGGACCCGTGAGAGATTTTTGGTGTGTTTTGAAGGCATAGCTAGCCATTCTCGCCGAGTTTCGAGGCGTTTTGTACGCGGATCACGTGAGATTTCACTCGTGTCATCCCTATATATATATATACATAGAGCGTCTACCGACGCTCTGATAGCTATGTTGCAGATGGGAAGGCGGACGCGTACCCTTACGCCTCGCCGCGTGAAGCTCAGTTGGTTACTTCTCCTCACGTTCACTGCTGGGCTCGTCGTCGTCGTCCACTACTATTTCATCTGCTCTTCAGCCAGCTCCGGCGCAGGGCATCAAAAGGTGACCAGGGATTCATCCTGGAAAAGATATTTCGGCATTCGCACTAGTGAGGAGTTTTTAAATAGTAACCTCCATAATGCAGTGACTGAAGCAGATGCAGAGAGGAACGACATACATATCCGTCAGTTTATGACCGCTAATATGATCGAATCTGAAGGACGTGTAACACCTGGAAAAGTCCGCCACACATTTAAGACTAACACTGAAGAAGTGGCATCTGAAAACACTGAAACTGACAGCAGGAACTCAGCAAGCAATGACAATCTGCAGGATACAGAGGGTGAGACTGAGATCCCATTCTTTGCAGCGGCGTCAAGCGACCCAGATCTCATTACTACAACTGGGGAATATGGAGTGGTATTAGCTGATCAGGAAAACGGTGGTAATGTGGAAAACGGTGAAAGCGAGTTTGAAGGGGTCAGGGCAGTTGAAGGAGATGGTATTGAGGAAAATCAGGAGCTACGGTCTGAGCCTGTAGAACGCAGTGATGTATTAGAAACCCAAAATCCACTGATCCAGGTACACAATGTTCCACGAGATGGAGAAAAGGTGGCGAAAAAGGATGTTTCACACTCAAAATCAATAGGAGACTTGTATAAAGAGATATTGATTGAGTACATCCTGAACAAGGTAAACTACAGCAACTGCTCACAGCCGCCCCTGTTCCGTTCCTGGATGAATTGTGGAATCGTGACTCAGATGGGGAAGCCCCTCAAAGCGAGACTGCCACAAACTGAGGGAGGACCCAGCGCTAGAGATGAGACAATCAAACCTCACCTCGCAGCTTCAAGACTGGAAATCTAGCCGCCCATGGGAGGCCTTTGCTTTAAAGTACAAGAAGATGAGCTGTGACGAAATCAGAGATGAATTCAACAACAATTTTTACGTTTCTCAGGTCGAGAAAGATTTTCCACTTGCCTACATCTTTGTGGTGTACACCAATGCAGGACAAGTATTGCGACTGTTGAAGTCTATATACAGACCACAAAACTTGTACTGCATTCACCCAGACGCAAGACAGGGCAAAGGTTTCAAGGAATTTTTCACAATGGTTGCAAAGTGCCTGGATAATGTGTTTGTAGTCTCCAAGCCAGTAAAGGTGTACTATGGGCACATATCCATCACCAATGCCCAGCTACAGTGCATGCAGGATCTGGAGAAATACCCACAGTCCAGATGGAGATATGTCATCAATCTCTGTGGAAGAGAGGTTCCAGTAAAGACCAACCGAGAGATTGTGGAATCGCTCATGAAACTCAGAGGCTACTCTGCCCTAAACGAATATCTCCTGCCCAAGACTTTCTGGGAAAAGCGTTTCCTCTACAAATTTCGCCTCAACGATTCTAGGATGGAACCTACAAAAGTGAAGCAAGCAAAGCCACCGAAAGGGATAGAATTATACAAAAGTATGAACTTTATAGCGGCAAGTCGAGCGTTTGTCCACTTCCTACTCTATGATCCTCTATCCCGAAAGCTTCACGGCTACCTCAGCACAGTGTATGATCCAGAGGAACACTTCTACTCATCACTGTACGCTCTTCCTCAGGCAAAAGGTGCCCGACCACCGAAACAACTACTGAGGAAGTCTGACATCCCACTAGTGGACAATATAATATGGGTCAACCGCAAATGGCAAGAACACCACTTAGGCGATTACTGTCCTGGTCAGAAAAATGTACACTCTATATGCATTCTTACGGCAGCAGAGTTGGCTCAAATTGAAAAACTCGGCGTCCGTTCGCAGCGGCCCGTGTTTTTCTTCAACAAGTATTTTCTGGAGTGGGACCCAACAGCCATGGATTGTATGGAGGAGAGGCTGGTACAGGCCAACATGGACGAGTATAGGAGAGACTGTATGCCAAATTACAGCAAAACCAACGAAGAATAAATCTCACTTCATCTTATTTTTAATTATATCACTACTTGAAATGATAACAATTGTGGTAGATAGTGTGAGAAACATTGAAGAATAAAGTCTGAGGCAGTTTAGTAGAGTGAAAACTCTTTGTTTGTGAGACTCATATCATCAACAAACCTAAAGAGGTGAGAGAAATCAAAACACCCCCCTCTTTACTTTAGCCCTTGAACTATATAACATAACATTGGCAGTATATATAAGGGATTGAAACAACCCCAGTATACTGTTGAACAATTCCCTAGGTTATATAACCCCATTCATTATAACACCAATACAACTAAGCTATATATTTTACCGAGTCATTTCGCTGTTGACATAGACGTGTCTCTCGCTCTGTGCCCACTGCTCTCTGTGAGGAGAGCCGTCCTTTAACCACCATCCATACTCACTGGATGTAGTGAGGGGATGCTGGTACAACTCTGTTGGCCCTTCATCATACACAGACGCATGTAAATAAAACAGAGATTTGCTATACACAGTGAAACTGCTTCTGAATAATAATGGACACATTGGGACTAGGCGTACTGTGGTTATACTTATACCACTCTGCATGAGATCCAAACTCTTTCAACTTCACCATGCAAAGATAAGTTACAACAGTGGGTCAGAGAAGCTGTACCCTGAGGCTGTCGCTGGTGTTTCCTCAGGAGCTCGGTGTAGCGGACGTGGGATCCTCTGTGCCAGTCGCGACCTGTCTCCCCCGTCTCCGAGGGAAGATACATGGTCTGGACGTGCGAGGGACCCGTCGTGGACTCGTCCTGCTGTACTACGGAGGTTTCTCCTGGCTCATTGGTCTGGAGAGACACGGGAGTTATAGAGGAGGAATTTGACATTAACTTGCTTGGTTTACTTCTGACTGATAGCTCCGTGCGTCTCCCCTTTCCGTTCCAGCTAAACAGTGTCGCGAAAAAAGAGATAAATACGCGTAACATGGATATGGTTGGGGTTTGAGCGCCGGTGTACCGTCGTTTTCGTCTTTGTTGGTGTACGAAGCAGTCTTGAACGGGTCCTGGACGCCCGTGTGGGTCAAGTTGAAGAACGACATATCTGAGTTTCGGGAAGGTTCCAATCGGAGCGCACCACACATAAACAAAGATTGTAGTGTATCCATGACAACGCCATGCGCATGCGCATTGATATAAATTGGCGGTTGTTTGGCGGTAAAGTTCAGAAGAGAGATGTCTTCGGAGCTTCTGGCGACGTATGCTGGTCTGGGGACACACGATGGAGAGCACTACTACAAGGGAGAAGAGTGTCTAGGTATGTACGACTTGACATTTATTGCTCTAGAAACCTGCGGTTGTGTGGCTAGCTACATTATTAGTGAAGTATACAACTGTTTTGCCGTCCAGCATGTGTGAAGGATCTGATACGGGCCCTGCGAGCCGACGACTCTCGCTGCGAGATCAGACGAGAGCTGGGCCGAGCTAGAGTCCTGCAGAAGGTCTGCTGTAACTCACTAAACTGAATTCCTCTCTCTTCATCCTCCCCTCTCTCTCCCAGGACCTTCTCTCCATACTGTTGAGCTCGCCTGATGACTGCACACTCAGGAACGACATCATAAGGTACCGTAACCAAGGTGTCCTGGAATGTACGTTGCTGCCCTGAACACAGGTGTCTTAAACTACGTAGCTGTCCTAAAAAAAGCCAGGTGTCCTAAAACCGGCTACCCCCAAACTCTATGTCTGCCCCACGCAGATTGCTGGTGAATCTGACACAGCCAGCCTACCTCTGTTTTAGCGAGTCTCTACCAAAAGGAAAGGATTTCGACTCTATGCGATGTTACATGGAAGTAGAAGAACACCTACGGAGATACAAAGGGGTTAAACACATACAGTGCAAAACCACATTCAAGGAGAATGCCGAATATGGCAGTGCTCATGCCTAAACGTTCCATTTTCAGCAACGGTTTCTATTACGTATTGTGGAATGTACAAATTGCTCATGTTGGTAAATTAATTGTTCTCAAACTTTGATGATATCCATATATATTGTATGTTTCCTACACTCTGTATATATAAGAAAGTATAATGTGCGTATATACTTCTCAAAAGAAAGTCTCCCCACAGGCCTTCACGGTGGAGTCTGTACTGAACGTGTTGGGCTCCGTCCTTGCCGACCTCTGCCAGAAAGACTGGGATCACCGTGACGACGATGACATCATCATAATTGAGAGGATACTCCTACTGATCAGGAACGTCCTACATGTATCACCTGATCCTCAAGAGGAAAAGGTTTGAAATCTACATACATATACCCTCCACAAATAGCCTGTTCTTACCTCCTATTTAGAACATTGTGTAAGCTGTTATCGTGCAGGGTCTTATGTACGAAATCTCTCTCCCTCCCTCCCTCTCCCCCTCCATTCAGAGGACGGAGGACGACGTGAGCGTGCATGACCAGCTCATCTGGAATCTCCACATAAACGGGATCGACGAGTTACTCGTGTTCCTGGGCGGCAGTGCCGAGGAGTCCCAGTGGTGCATGCACGTTCTCGAAATCATCTTCCTCATCTTCAGAGAACAGGTGAGTCAACCAACCACTTTCACTTTCAATTTTGGACGCTGTTTTTTTACCTCTCTCTTGCTTTTTAACAATTTTTCTTTTGCTCTCTTTAAAATTTTTAATGTTGACAAATTTTGTGAGACAAGGTCTCTAAATTTTTCGTCAACAGTCGCCATCAGCTCTTGCAACTACCGGTCGAGAGCGGACGGCCGAAGAAAAGAAACGAGACGAAGAGTAAGTTTCACTTTTCACTTTCGTTTGGTTTCCATTTTCTTTCCGATGCCATCTCCCTCTTCGTAGTTTGATGGAGGAGGCTTTAGCCAAGGAAAGGGAGAGAAAAGCGAGGGCTGCGAAGATTCGAAGTGCGAGGTACGTATATACACAAAGGTATAGATTTTTTCATAACATGCCTCCAATAAAAATGTGCGCAACTATAGGAGAATTTTACAGTGTTGTATGCAGGTTGCTTGTAATGTGCAATTGCCCATTGTTCATACCACAAATATCAAGTCTATACCTCTATATAGGCTAGTAGCTCGCGGAGAGTCTGACACGGGCTAGCTACAGCAGCATGCGCGCCGAGGGTTAATAACAAGTCTATGTACCTTTATGTGGGCTTTATGTGTACTATCTTTTTCCCGCCAAAAGACATTCAAGGTTTGGTGGTACCTTTGTGGTGAAGAACCAGCGCAGTATATCGGGGAGTGAGAGAGTTTACCATCGACCCATTGCAGGTATGAAAGATGACGTGTCTATTTCTCACGTGATGTTTTAGAGTTGGCCTTAACCGACCCACGTCTTGCAACTATCGCGTCACATGAACTTGGGGAAGGCTTGGGAACGAGGGCATTTACTGTTGGGTTTACAGTGGAACCCCTCTCTCTACAGATACAAAGGAGGACACCTCTAATAAGAACTTTCCCCAAGAACAGTTTTACATACATTTTAACCCCTGACACTTCTCTAGTAAGGACACTTTTCTTTCCCCAAGAACAGTTCTTGCATGCATTTTAACCCCTGAAATTAGGATGCCTCACTAATATGGCCATATGGACACTTTCTTCTGTCTCATTAGTGTCCAGATTAGAGGGGTCCCCCCTCTCTCTCTCTGTCTCTCTAGGTCTAAACAGCCATTCCTACGACATAGAGAAGCGGCCGCGACGAAGAAACAAGAACCGACGCCCCGTGTGCGATCCGCCCGGCGACAGACTCTCAACCTTTAGCATAAGGTGTGGTCTACAGTTGTGGTGAACGTAGCCTATGAATATCATTATCTGTCTGTTGATGTAGGCTGGTGCTGAAGAACATGTGTGTTCAATTCCTCGAATGCTGCTACAATCCACTCATGAAGATAGTTAGGGTAAGACGGCTTTTTTCGCGGTGGGAGGAGAGGGAGGGAAAGAACGGAGAAGAAAGAAGGAAGGAACGAGCCGCCCCCTCCCTTTTCTCCCTCCTCTCTTTATTATTTCTCCTCTCTCCTTTCTCTTTGTTCTTCCTAGGACAATATTCGCCATAACCGGTCAATGGAAAATGACGATACATTCTACCTCTGGTGTCTAAGGTAAACCCTATGTATCTTGTCCAGCAATTACTACATCATAATTACATCATTTATTAGGTTCTTCATGGAATTCTGTCGTTGCCATGACTTCAGAGTAGACATTGTTGGGTAAGGTCTATCTGCAACTTGTTGCTTAAAAACAAAGATGATGGCCTTACATACATTAACGACAGATGTTTTACAAGTAGTGAGAATGGCAGCTGCTTTCTTCCCAATTTTCCCTCCATTATCCAGGGAGACCCTCCAATTGGGTACGTTTCACTACCTCATTCAGTTGATGGCCTCCTACTACGAGAGTATGGTGCTGGAGAAGAAGGATAAAGTGGTGGCACGTCAGTGGGCACAGAGGTAAGGGTGAGGGAGAGAGAGGAGGGAGAGGAGAGTTCTACATTATTTGTATCCCCCCCAGGCTGCACTATGCCGTGCAGGGCTACCACGAGCTTCTTCAGTTCATCCACCAAATGAGCATCTCTAAGGACGAAGCTCTTTGCGAGAATTCGAAAGTGATGCTAAGCAACCTCGTCTACCATCAAGAATACAGGGACGTGTTCGTTTCCCTTCTTCGTAATTACAACGAAGTCGTACAGGTTGGCCTTTTGATTATAAAATTAAAAAATTGCGTTGGATTAAAGGATGAAAGTTACTATGCTTGGAGGAAACATCCACAAAATGTCCGTCATGTGAAAGTTTCTTGTAGAGTCAGTTGGTCATATTTTTGTACTATTTTTAGGTATTCGTTTGTTCTATTTTTAGAGTCGGTCATTTCTATCTGTTCTTGTGGAGGCAACGCACCTCTACGTGCGTATGATGGAACGCTATTGCCACGGCAACAGTCGCATGATCGTACAGCAGAAGAAGAAAAAGGGAAAACCTAAGAAATCCAAGGTAACCAACCACCGCACTAAAACAAAAAAACGCACAAAACTGAATTTTGTAAGTGAAACACTGGTCGTCAGTTTAGTCAGGAAAAGCTAAAGTTAGAGTACTTTCAGTTTCAACCCAGAATGTTTGTTAGGTGAGTAATAGTACATTGGTACAGTTAGTGCATACTCAGAACACCATAATTTTCAGTTCAAACATCTCATAGAAGAGCTATTATACTTGGAGAGCTTGCTGAATGCACTCTCAGAGATCACTGTTTTCAGTTTCAATAAACAATCAAAAACAACTCTGCAGAAGAAGTCTAGAGGCAGTTCGACTGGCTACGTGCTGACGCAGGACCAGACGACAGATCTGTGGGAGACCATTGACGCCAGAGTGTTTGAGCTACTGGAGGGCCACGAAACACTGCCCCGGGCCGAGCCCGCATTCGACGCAGCCTGCCAGGAACCCATCGAGGAACAGAAGTCAGTGGGCCCCCCAATCCGTGGATTGGATTCCGGTGCTATTGTCCAATCTGTGGATTGGATACCAGTGGTATTGCCCAATCGGTATTGCCCAATCCTTGGATTGGCTTGGAGAGGTTTCCCAATCCAAAGATTGGCTAAGAGAGCACCAAATCTGTGGATGGGATACCTCTTAGTGCCCATCCAATCCATGGATTGGACATTTTCGCTACAGGCATTGGCATGATGATACCTATCATCTTTAATGTGAGTTGTATTCTCTTTCTCCATCCACAGAATAACTACCATGGCCCGCGTAAGAGCTCATCTGATTGATGCAAACCATCCCGAGGCCGTAGCTTTATTCAGGGCTGCTCGGTAGGTCCCTATTTTGGACATCCCATCCATGGATTAGACAGCTATTATTGGTATTGATTCCTATGCTGTCCAATCCGTGGATGGATTGGACACAGCAATCATTTTGCATTTTACAAACTGTGGAAAGAAGTTTCCTCATTCAGTCTTTGTGGATTGTCCACAGTGTCTTTTGGCCTGAAGATGAAGGATTTGGTCGTGACGGGATGACCGCCTCGGAAGAAATGGAGGTCATGAAATCCCTTCTGTTTAACCCTGCAGCAGGTACGTAGGTTTTCAGGAAATGAGGGGTTAAAAAATTTTCCCCTCTCTTCCCCCTCATGTCCCCCTCATGTCCCCCTGTATTAAAGGGAATGTGTGCCAGTAGATAAGGGCTAAATTTAGAAATGTTACTAAAGATAGAACTAAATGATAGGGCCCAGTGCAATAAGTTTCCATTTTCAGTAACAGCTTCTAAATTTAGCCCTTACATAATACTGCCACATACTTTTTAATCCCAAATAGCTCTGCCGTCAGCACGAATCATGACCAATTTCGACGACGACGACGACGACGATGGAGAGGGGGAGGGGGAGGGGGAGGAGGGAGGGGGAGAAGTGGTAACTTCCGAGACGGAATTCGAAGTCAGAAAATTCGTTCAAAGGTTCGTTGTTCTGTCATCATTTTATTGTGGTTCTAAGGCGTATCTATGAAACTGCATAAACCATTGCGTGCAAGTCTAACAAGCAACAAGCATGTCTAATGGTCTGCGTTGGATTGACATTATCTACCATTTGAGTTATTTCCTCTCTTTGTCTCTCTTCCTTCAGGTTCTCAAACAATAAGATAGTGAGATCGTATTGCGTGGTGCTGTCAAACTATCGCAATAACTCGACCGCCCTCAACCACGCTGTCGCCAAAATGCTCTATAGGATCGCGTTTGAGATGAAAATGGCACCTCTTCTCTACCAAATCTCCATATTTCGGATTTTCCAGTCCATTTTGCAGGAGCCCGACTCACCCAGAATTCATGTAAGCCTCTGTCATTACTTTACCTTAGAACCACTATTTTTGAAGGTATGTTGGTTCATTTTTGGTTTATGCACAAAAATTTTTCCATCACAAATGTATTGCCCCAAAATTTTTTATGCTTCTATGTTAAATTTACAGTGACCCTATATATAGTTATTAAACATTTTTCTGCAGGAGCTTAAGAAGTTTTGTCGTCACATGGTAGCAGGGTTTTTCGCGGCAGCTGCGAAAAATCCGCTCATTTTCGTCGAGCTTCTGTTCTGGAAGACGTCACAAGATGTCTACGAACTGACGGAGGGCTACGGAGCACTGGAGAGGGAAAGGTTTGATTGCAGATCGATTACAGATCGATTGTAGATCGAAACAGCGGTGGAAATCTCTTTTAGCAAGAATGTTGAGGGAAAAACAAACAGTGTGAATATCTTGACTATAGCTGGAGACTGCAGTGCAATAAACCTATCATATGTATACTTGTAGCGACAATTCTTCACTGAAAGCTATTTAGTTATAAGACTGAAAGTATAGAAAAGAAGAATTTTGCAAAAACGGCTGTTTTCGCTCTCTACAGAGCCAAGAAGCAGCTGTCCACGGTCTGGACTCGGGAACAAGAAGAAGAATTGGAGGAACTGTTCCAAAGATACAGAAATGAAGACGGTCAGTACGCGCGAAATAATGATGTTTAGTTTAACATGAAACACACTCAACTCACGCACATACACACTCTCTATCTACAGACGTAGTGGCCTGCATACTGGCTGGCTTGCCGCAGGATATACCAAGAACCAGAAAACAGGTATTTTTGTAGCACACACCAACAAAAACGAGAAGCTAATATGGGGGGAAATAATCATCGCAAATTTCGGCCCGCCTGTGAGAAATGGCCAAATGGCAATTTTGTGAATTTTTCCCCCTTCCTCTCCACAATAACACTGTACAAAGAGCAAACTTGCTTTGAAAACCTGTTTTTCCTGGTTACCTCTCTCTACTGTAGGTGGTGAAGCAGCTGCTGAGTCAAGAGCTGATAGACAGTTCGAAACAACTGGCAAGAAACAACAAAAAGAGAACGGTATATTTAACTCCTTCCCCTCTGAATAATTTCGCTCCCCGAAAGTGAATCTTTGATTCTGTAGGACGAGTGGTCGGAGGAAGAGATAGCGCTTCTGCGAGAAGTGATGGAGTCACGTGGGGAAGAGGGAGGAAAGAGACGCGATACAGAAATTGTTCAAGAAATCGCAACCTACTTCCCGGGTGAGGCACATACAATGACCGTTAAACTCTGAACTTCTTGCCGTTTGAAAATTAGGTGTTTCGGTTTCATTGTACATATGTATAGTGTTTGTTGGTGTTGATTGTTGTTTCTTTAAGATCGTGGAGTTCGTAACCTGGCGTCCAAAATGAGGGAGCTGGGGATGCTGGGACGAAAAAACGGTGGGAAATCAGGAGCTGCTGATGATTCAGAGGGAGAAGCAGTTAGTGACGATGGTGGCGGGAGATCTAGACAGACGAGGGAGAGAGGGAGGGAGAAGAGGAAGAAAAGGGTTAAAAAGAAGTCGTCCGGGAGTGGGGTGTGCAACGACGTTCCTCGTCTGGTGATGTCACTGAGTTGCCGTGGTTACGAGGAGCAGCTGGCGTGGTTGGAGGCGTACCTGAAGGACGAGGCACGAGATAGGACTGTGGATGGTGGGTTCTTATAATGCACCCCGACAATTAAGTTAATTAGATTATTACTCTCCCTCCCCCTGCACCAGATGAGTGGGAAGAGATGTGCATAGTTGCATCTGGAGACGCCGTGTCTAAAATGTTTAAGGAACCAGATTTCCACAACCTCCTCACCGCCCTTCAGATGCAGCCACCCAGCGATACCGTGAGACTCCGCCCACTCTCATTTACTTGTTGTTTGTTTACTTCTTGTTGTTTACATCCTGGTTGTTTTGTTTACTGTTTATTGTTGTTGTGTTGTAGGAAGTTTACTGGAGGATTCCGTCTTCCATGACACCTGGACAGCTGGAGTCTGCAGCCAGTAGTCTCAGGCCCTGTTCCATACTGGAAGACACACGGGAGGTGGAATCGGAATCGGAGAATGAAGAATCAAAACAGGAGAATGGAGAACTGGAACGAGAGAATGAGGAATCCGAATCGGAGAATGAAGAACTGGGGAACGAGGAATCGGAACGGGAGAATAAAGTTTCCCGAGACAGTGATTTGGACTGTGACCAGAAACAGGAAGTTGAAGCTACAGGACAGGAAGTGGGTGGTGTTAACGAGGAGGAAGTGGGTGGAGGGGTGGAGAGGGGTGTGTCCCCAGACCGTACCGGGACGACGAGTGACGTGGAACTGGTCATTGACTATGGTGATGATGGGGAGGAGAGGCAAGAGGGTTCGCGGTCAGCTCTACTGAGACAGCTGGTGGCAAAGAAGAGAGAGAGGGGCAGGGAAAGGGGAAGACGACACAGACAGCACCAGGAAACGTCTGGTAAGCAACGACTCTCGCATTCCCTCACCACAAAATGCTAATTATTGCATTTGAGTATACCAAACTGCTGGGTAATCATTGTGCCTGGCCGTCAAAATTGGGCACATTAATTACATCACAAAAACTAATCCTTCCTTCCCCTCTCTCCTCTTCCTCTATTATAGCTGTAGTAACAGAGCCACAACCAAAGAAACCACGCATTGCTCGTCGCTCAGAATTCCTCGCCTCAGACTCTGACAACGAAGAAGAAGAAGACCTCACATCAAAAGGGGATGAAACCTTACAGCTAGACGATGGGGGAAGGGAAGAGGGAGGGAAGACGAGTTTGAAGAAAACCCGAAAACTGGCTCTTGATTCCTCCGATTCTTCATCATCAGGGACTGAGAGTGAAAGTGACAATGACTCGAGATCGTCTGGTGTGGAGGAGGATCAATCGAGTGGTGTCAATTTGAGTCAAGATGGATCAGATCGCGTTCAGCGGTGTCAAAATATCGCCACTGATCTCCAGTCACCCGTCATGGACACAGCTGAGCTTCTTGTTGATACATGTGATCCAGCGAAACATGATTCTTCGAGAATGACACCAGCCAACACAGACTAAAAGACTGTCTTTTAAACATGTGAAATGGGCATTATCATAGTACTATTATGCCTCGTGATTGTACCAGCATATTTTGCATAATTATTCAATACACAACAGAAAGAAGGCCTATAGGTCTCACTGGACACCTGTTGCTTTTCTGGAGATATATAGTATAGGAATGGTAGGACTGGGCTATTTGGTTATGAAGGAAAAAAGTGTTATGCTAATTTTTGCATATACAATACAAGTGTAAGTAAGTATGGTGAGTGTAAGAAGCTAGCTGGTGATGGTGTTGTGTGTGTCAACTGGCAAAGTAAGATCGACAGTAGTAGGTTTAGTTCCTTGTCCTCGTAGACCCGCCAGGTACACCGATGGTCTTGGAACACTTGTACCAGCATCCCTCTTGGTTTGACAGGCCGATTCCCTGCGGTAGAGATTTGATGCAATCTCCCCTTCTCCCTTCATCTTTCTTCTCTTTCTCTCTCTCTCTCTCCTTACCTTGGCAAGTATACTTGCGTGTCGTTATCTCTCTTGTAATGACTGAGTTCAGTTTGAACTGAATGGGTCACCTTCTGACGCAAATTTGCCTGGCAAACAACAAAATTTAGAGGTAATCTTTATATACTCCTGCCTAAAAAAACTGGAGAACAGTTCTACAGAATTTTACTACAAACACACACACATGTACCGCAGCAATGAGAAGGTGTTGTGCATGGTTGCGCTCTGTAATGATGTAATGCAACCCAATTGTACTACGTAACTGGTTTAGAACCAGTTCTACGTGTATCAGCAAACCAGTTTGATGGCCTTCCTGCGCAGTTCCCACTCGTTCCACTCGTACGACCTCACGATGTTGGACTCCATGAAGTGAGTGTCTGTCTGTGTGCCCGTGTCACACTTTGTCACTGGTCTGTGGAGGACACCTTCCCTTCCACCCTGTATAATGTTTTTATTATTTTTATTATGGCAGTCAAAAATTTGTAAAAGCTTCTGGAACCTTTTTTGGGGGGAAATCTACATGTTTTTAGAACTTTCCCTGTTATTTTTCGAAGAAAAAGACCAACTGCAGCACTTGGCTTGGAATTTTTAAAGGAGTAAAATCGCCCCTCCCCCATTTTTAAGAAAAGAATTGTGGATGACTCCAGGTGACCTGGAAGCTTGCAGATCCAATGCTGAAGTGTGTGTGCATGTCCAGCAGTTGAATCAGCTCAGGAGATCTCCTGCTGCAGTCCACGGCCGCCGAGATGAACCTGAAAACAGAGGTAAAACCCGTTTGAATTCCTACACACAGAATACAACCACTGCTATGGAGGAGCTATTTTGTAGGTTTTATGAAAGTTTTTTATTATAAAGTTTTGTACTAGCCACCACCGTCTTTACTCTTTAAAAAATTCGCATTGTGAAGATTCATACTTTTCTGGTGTGTTTGAGAAGGTGAGAGCAGCTTCAGGAGTGGAGAAGGCGTAGTACTTTCCTCTGTGGTGGAGTAGGCCAAGTTGGGGGTTGGCTGGCAGCAGGAACCGATCGTGGACGGCTAGAGTGTAGCCACAGTAGCCCTGGGAGGGAAGAGAACTAAAACACTGACATTTTGGTCACGAAATCTGCTGGTCAGCATTGACACTTTACACCGGTTTGAAAACCACTTTTTCTTTTTATTCTTTTCTTTTTTTCTTTTTTTTCAGTTTGTGTGTGTCAACGGTTTAGGAACTCGACCACTTTCTTTTAATTGTTTCCCTTTCACATTCTTTTTCCAGGAACCTTCACGCACTCTCATCGTGCTACATACACCCTCTATTTGCGGTGTACGTATCTGCCACGCCGACCTTGAACTGCACGGGAAGTTTGTCGAAGTCTCTGGTTGTGTCGGGGAACAGAAACTCGGCTGAGCTGTGTTCTCCGGGGACGATTCTCCCGCCAGACTCCGCCATCTGTCGGTGACATGGGTGAAAGGTAAGCGAAGCAAAGGTGAGGCAAACTTCCATACGTACATGCGTTGCATTCTATATATCTGTTTCTCAAACAGTAAAAATGATACGGTATATACAGTAGCTGTACCGTCATTCTCTCTTCGTCTGAGGGGCAAGGGGCTTGGTCCAGTAGAGCAGTCATTGCATCTTCCTGGACCAGACTGTGTGAGGCGTGAATGAACTGAGCCAGTTGGGGGAGGAGGCTGCTCAGGACGCTCAGGAGGACCACCTCGTCCTGGTAGCCAGTCCAGTGGTGGGACAGTATCGTGAACAGAGGCTGCGATTGAGGGAGGGAGGGGGGAGGGAGGGAGGAGGGAGAGAGAAAAGCACGTCTTGTTTGCACTTGCTATCCAGTACACCTCAAAATATGGTCAAGTTGAGTCAAATTCGAGAACAGTGCTGTTCTCTAGTTTAGGGAGAAATGATAGACGAAGAAATATGAGGGGTTTGTGGGGGGAAAATAAGGCGCGCGCGAGAGAGAGAAAAGTGTATATAGCTCACGTAGACTTGAGCTGTGGGTACTGCAGTCTTGGACTGAACTGTGGCCTTCAGGGATTCCATAGTTCCCTGAAAGTCAGCCTCCAAATGATCCAGATGCTCGGCACTCATGAGAATATCGCCCTACGTTTGTTTTGCAGCATTATACACCAGTATTTGAGAATATGCAGGGATTTGAATGAGCTTCTACATTTTGAGATTCGCTAAGTTTAAGTACACACGTGCATCCCCTCTTTTGTAGCCATGTGTGTAATGTACCATTAGTGTTCTGATGAAGGTTTCGTGTTGGCGGAGGTTTATGAGTCCTTCCTTGAGGGAGAGGACACTGGAGGGAGGAGGAGGAGGGTGTGGGGACTCTGTTAACGAGCAGAGCACACCTTTGAGTGGGGGGAGAGAGAGGAGAGAGAGGAGAGGGAGAGAGGAGAGAGAAAAGAGGAGAGAGAGAGAGAGAGAGAGAGGAGAGAGAGGGAGGAGAGAGGGGGAATGAAGTACACAAGTGATAGATGTAAGAGCAAGTCTCTGTAAGAGCACACAACATACGTATGTACCTGTAAACTGGTAGGCAGCCTCCAGTGTTTTCTGAAGTGTTTTCTCTATATTCTCACTCGTGACTTTCAGGGCGTCTTTCAGAATCGAAGGCACTGCAGTGACCAATTGCAATTCACGTTGGTTTTCTCAAACGGTACAGTATGTATTAGTTACAGCACCAACCATCCGTAGTATATATGTACTGTTGGGGCCTTGATACATGCCCACACATTCTGCTACATGTGGACTTACAATCGTCGATTCCTTCTCCGCCCTTTCCACAGTCTCGGTTGAAGAGACGGATTCCGCTGACGATGCTGCTCAGTTCGCGAAGTTGCTTCTGTTTGTCTTCACCGGTGAGGGCGATGAACACTCCGAGTTCCGTCTGTGGGAAGACACTCTGTAGGGCAGCTGTGAGTGAGTGCGGTGTGTGTGTGTGTGTTGAAAAACAAAATGCAAGAGATACTTTTTGGTTGAAGAAATGGAATCAGAGAAGTTGAGGCAAAGCTGTATGAGTAGATTGGTAGTACAGTAAACGGTGCAAGAGCGGTGCTTGTTTAGTTGGTTGGGCTATAATAGAGTTCTAAGGAGAGGCACAGAGAAAGAGGTTTCATGACGTGTATTACCAGTTGTTTCTCTCACAACAGCCAGCTCAGTGGGTGATCCCAGTCCAGATTCCAGCAGCACATACGACACAATCTTACGATACAGAGCTGCATGGGAAATGCAATATATACACCACAGCACATTGACGGGTCGAGGGTTCGGACGGTCTCACTTTCTAATTCTTCTCGGCTTCGAGCTCTAGCGTCGAGAATTTCAGCCAGAACTGGCTGCAGTCGACTGTCCAGTACCCTGCGATGCTCCTGAAGAAACTCACCTGCAGAGACAGAGAGGAGAAAGGCAGCTGCTTTCTAGGAGGAGTTCCCGCCAATTTCCCCCGCACCGCTGCTGACCTCTGGTGCAGTAGTTCATGTCGAAGTGAACCTGCATCTTGGCGGTGTCCAGGGACGGAGAATTCCGCTGCAGAAGCCTTGACACACACGTCTAACAAGTCCAAAATGTATGCAGTTGTAGTGTATATAAAAAGCAGGGTATCTTGCACCAACCCCAATGAGCTTCTTTACGTCGTCCTTGGTGAGTGTCCTTTCCACGTTGAACTCGTTCTCTGGATCCAGTACTGCCGCTTTCACCTGCGCATATCGTGCACAACATGGTCTAGCTTCTCGCGACTGCGGGCTCACTATGAACGCTGCAAGCGTCTCCGAGATGGTCTCGCCCTGCGCGCTGCACTCGAGCGTTATCTCTCGGATGATGTTGCGAATCACGCTCTCTGCCTGCGCCGACATCTTCACAAAACTCAAACTGCAGTCTTCCACAGCACCGCCGGAGAATAACTGCACAGGCGACCGCCACCGTTTGCGTGTTGCTATGGAAACACAGGTCAAAGTACTATACGCGCAGCACTCGCGAGCACTCGCGAGCACTCTGTGCAACCACACAGGGTTCTTACAAAAAATACTGTACATATCATTTCGCATACAAAAATAAAGTGGTAAGTAGCAAAAAATTATGCATAACGAAATTTTGAATGGGGGGTGGCTGAGAAAGTGAAAAACTGGGAAATTTGGTGGAAGCTGGGGTGAGGGGGAGGATGGGCAGGCAGGCAGGCAGCTCTCAAGAGCAGGTGTTGCTGGTTTAGAACCAAATTCCACCAGCTTTTGAAGGGTCGGGGCTTTCTCCGAGCTTCGAGAACAGGTCGTGAGCTCCGGTTGTCCCGAGAGTTGTCTTCTGGTCGTTGTCGTCTTTTTGTTGTGGCGGGAAAACGTCGTCCTCGGAGCATTTTCCCTCGCCCTCCTGCCTCCCTCTGTCTTCCTCCTTGCACACCGAGATTAACCCCTTCCCCACTGCCGTATTCACGATCCCTCCGTTCTCGGCCGCCGTGACGTAAGACCCACATGTTGCGATTGAAGGAGCCATGTTCATTTTGTGACCACCGCAACCGGTGCTACTTGTGAGCCCGTCTTGAGCGACCGACGGCAACGCTTCTTGCGAGCTGCAACTATGCTCTTGACTGCTATCTTGCCTTCTGAGCGAGTTCTCGACGCTTGAGTCAGTAACACTCGTCATGTTTGTGGAAGCAGTGTTGACGCGGGCGCGACCGGGACGAACTCTCCGTGCAACTCGTCTCCCCCTCACGCAGTGGACCACGGAACAGAACACCGTCAGGAGCAGAGCTAACAGCAGCACTCCGGACACAATCGGCCAGATGAGTGCGCTGTTGGCCTTGATGCTCTCTCCCGTATCACTCCCTTCTCCGGTCGTGGGAGGCGTGAAACCGATCTCTTGACACGCGAAATTCGAAGTCCCGTTTTCGAGAACAGTCGTGACAACTTCGCACACTACGTTGCTTAGACAGTCAAGTGGAGTGGCCCTGGAAAAGACAGGTGTTTAAACGTACAGCACCATTCAGATAGAAGGTAAGAGGGAGACAGGGAGGGAAAGGACTCAAAAGGACTCAAAATACACCCGATATGGAGGCTACGGTTAACAGAGAGAGACAGCCACTTACTTTTGAGAACAGTTCTGAGGGTAGCACGCCTTTACGCCTTCATCGATGGGGTTGGTAACCGTGGTGACAGAGTGGTCTTGGAGTCCAGTGAGTGGAGGGCAGACGTGAGCACTGCAAGGGGAAATAAATGAATACACACACTCTCTCTCTAATTGTTCTCGTCTTCTTCCTCTTCCTCCCCCCCTCGATCCTCTCTATCTCTCTCTCTAACAAACAAACCAGAGTCCGGTAAAACTCTCGAGGCAAGAATTGTAGTTTTCAGGCGGTATCTCCTCCACGCAGGGACACATGCAGAAACCCTGGCAGACTGCTGCACGGTTGCTCCTGTACATTAGAGCACACACACAACACACACACACACACAGAGAAAAGACAAGGAGATAATGAAGTACAAGAGTACGGAGAGGAGGATAGGCGCGGGAGAATGAGAAGGTTAAGCAGCTGGCTTACGGGGTCACAGGGACACGAGACCGGTTTACAATCTGGGTCCGAACTCCGTTCGTTGTCCACCACGACAAAGAAAGTGTTGGTTCCTTCCACCGGCACAATCTGCACATGTACACGGAGAGAGAGAGAGAGAGAGAGAGACAGACACAGACTAATCGTGAGAGTGTGTATGTAAGATGACCTACGTACCGAGAAAAAGACGCACTGAGAGATACCTCCGCCCTCCAAAGGAGCAGTGGCATTCTTCACCTGAGAAAAACACAGAATTTCTCACGAGGCACATGTTGGCAACCAATCATGCACAGAACACATTATTCTCAAAAATTGTGGCGGATTTAAAATTTGCGCAAACTGGCCGAATTTTCTGGTGCACAGGGTTTATTCTGGCGGGGCGTGACCCCCTCAAAGCTAGGGCGCTTTCCCGGCGCAGACTAGGACTTAAATCAATAGTTTAAGTGTGAGAGCAGTGTTGTTTAAAATGGATATGCCCTATGCCCTGAAGCTAGAAAGATTTCTAGAAAAAAATGCCCAACTTTTTCGGTGAGTTCGTAGAAGAACTGCTTTCTTGGTCTCCTGTGAACTCAGAATTGTACTGGAAGTTGTTGCAGTATACGCGGTTCACGAGCTGCAGGTGGTACATGTTGTGCATCAAGAACGGCTCGAACGCCGAGAGATGGAGGCTGGTGATGCTGTCCGGATTGGTGAAGAAGCGCGGGTGGACAATGACATAGGCATTGCTGTCTATCAGCATACACCTGGAGGAGAGAAACACGGCAAAATGGATTATTAGGGGCTATTTTTAATTGCAGCCCTACATAAAATTCCACATGATTTGCACTTGTCAATCACGAGGCACAATGTTGGTG